TGTAAAAGGTATTAAAAAAAAAAAAAAAGACTACCTTACCATTCAAAGAAGATATTCTAACAATGAGTAAGAAAGCAGCTACCTTTTCCAAAAGAAATTCATGTTAAAAGCATTTTGAAAATGGTTAGACATGTTTCCAGCTTTATGAAAATGTATTACTAAAAACTGTCACCTATAAAAACTCTCTTAACACTTAAACCTTGGGAAATGAAATCCAAAAATGACTTTCAGTAAGTTTTGAACCCATTTCTTTTTTAACCAATAAAAATGCCACACTTGCAACTGAGCAAGAACAAGGTACTGACAGTGAGAAAGATGGAAATTTATTATAAAGATTTCAACAAACACTTTTGAAGACTAGTAGATGGAGTTGAAAGTCATTTGGACCCACAGATCTTAACGAAGTGGCTTTTTTAGCTACAATAGCCACTAAAACCCAGCATTAAAATAAACTTACCTTAGAACCAGAAATTAATTTTTATCACAAAATGTTAAAACTAGAAGTTTCAAAAATAATGAAGCATTTTTAATTGTATAGCTCTCACTAAAAGAAAAAAAATTTTTAGAGCAAAAGGTATTTTTTTAACAATACACATAAAAGATATTTTAAACATTTTCACTTTTTCCTGATTTTTTTTTGCCTTATGTGTATTGGTATAGTACGTAAACATTAATTTAAAAAATATACATGTCTATATACACATGCTGAGGTGGGTGGTACTCTACACGCACTCGGGTGACTGGTTTGGACAGCGATGTTTCATGCCATTCCTTACATCCTTAGAACAAACTTCTCCAATCCCCCAAATATTAACTATACTGTCTTCTAACTTTTATAACTTATTCTTAAATTTTTAGTCCAACTGGAATTTCTTTTGGTGAATGGTCTTACGGGAATAAATTTAATTTTCTCTACTTACACCAGCACCTTTTATTGAGTAATCCATCATGGTCAGAATTATTTCAAAAAGCCACCTTTAATGTACTCTAAATTCTTAAAAGCATTTGGGTCTATTTTTAAAACTACTTTCCCCTGAACGGTCCATTTTTATGAGTGTAAAAATTTAATTGCACTTTAAAGATTTTTTTTGGTACAGCAAGTTCCCCTTTTTCTCCCCTTACAATGAAGATCCTCTTATTTTCATCTGTTATACTTCCATATGAATTTTTAATTTGTATTAAAAATAAATACTCTATGGCATTTGGATTGACTTTGCACCGAATATACACCAACTCAAGAACTGACATATGTACAACGGTCAAAATGTTCCTATTATCAAGCGCTTATAAGCCCGTGTTGCTCTCTGCTTTCCTTCCACCCCATCCCTAAGGACACCATGATCTTACATGTTGTTAGTCTTCCTTTAGTTTTACTACTCATGAATCATTCTGACTTCTTTAACTCGTGATTTCTGAGATTCACGATGTGCAAAGCTCCACACTACCCTCACTGCTCTCTAGAATTCCATTGCACTGGGGATGGGCATTTGGCTTTCTTCTTCCTTCTTTTTATTATAAACAACACTGTTGCGACCATTCCTGTGGGTTTCCTGGGTGTATACACCCACACAGGAGTTTCTCCGAGCGTAAATCATTGCCTGTAAGATAGATCTGTGGTCAACTAGATAATACTGTTTTCCAAAAGTGCTAGTACAGACTTACATGTCAACAGCAGCAGATGAAAGAGACCCTGCAATCATAATCTGTCCAATTGTTGGTATTTTCTGATTGTTTAGTGGCTGCCAATTTGGTGGCCATGAAATGATAATAATGGGTTCATTTCCTGATGACTAATCAAGTTAGACATCTTTTCAGGTTTATGGGTCATTTCTGTCCCATTTCTGTGAAATGCTTGCATCTTTGCCCATTTCTCCCCTTTTTGTTACTGATTTGCATGCAGATAGCTCTTTAACAAGTTAGGTATGTTGTGAGTATCTGTATTGTATTCCACTTTGGGCTTATTTTTTTCACTCTGTGGAATGTTCAGTAAACAAAAGTGCTCTATCAGTGCAGTCAAATCATTCATCTTTCAATGTTTTGCACCTCCTCCTTTGTTTACAAAATCCTTCCCTTCTCAAAAGTCATAAAAACATTCTTCTATATTGTCTTTTAGAAGTTTTATAGTTTTAACTTTCCTATGTGAACTTTTAATCCACCTGGGATTGCTTTTTGTGCCTGATGCAAGGCAGGGCCAAGTCACTTTTTTTTGTGAAAAATTACTGAATCCCCGTTTATAAATAATCCATCCTCGGGGCGCCTGGGTGGCTTAGTTGGTTAAGCGACTGCCTTCAGCTCAGGTCATGATCCTGGAGTCCCAGGATCGAGTCCCACATCGGGCTCTCTGCTCAGCGGGGGGTCTGCTTCTCCCTCTGACCCTCCCCCCTCTCGTGCTCTCTCTCTCTTTCTCTCTCTCAAATAAATAAAATCTTTAAAAAAAAAAAAATAATCCATCCTCTTCCCCAAGGTCTGCCATGACTGCCCTTTTAAAAATTAAGTTCTCGTACTAATTGGGTCAGTTTCTGAGCAATTCATCCTTGTCCATCTACTCGTACTCTCTGTATCAATTCGACATTGTCTTAATCACTACATTTTACGGTAAGCTTTTTGTTGTTGCTTCTTGAGATGTCTGAGTAATGGTTTCTGTTTTTTTGCATTTTAGAGGAAGTTTTAAAATCTGGTCATGCCAGTTCCCTTCACACTTGCATTCTTTTTAAATAGTGTTCTGAATACCCTTGCCCTTTGCTCTTCCATTTACATTTTGGGATCAGCTTGTCAAGTACCACAGTGAAAACCACTGGGACTTTTTGTTGGCATTGCATTAATCTATTAACCAGTTTGGACAAAGAGTTGAGACCGAGATCATCTTCTCCATTACACGCTCTTCATTTATTTAGGTCAATAAAGGTGTTGGGTTTTTTTAAATCATCATTTTCTCATTAAAAGGCTTACACAGCTCTTAAGATGTATTCTTACATACTTTATATTGTTTTGTTCCTACCGTAAATTTTATTTCTTAATTACATTTAAATTTTTAAGACATTACAGCTTGTAGCTGGATGCATGGAAATATAACTGACATTTGCATATTGTTCCAGGGATCTTGATAAACTCTTAAGTCTTTTTCTTTCTTTTAAAGATTTTATTTATTTGACAGAGAGAGACACAGTGAGAGAGGGAACACAAGCAGGGGGAGTGGGAGAGGGAGAAGCTGACTCCCCGCGGAGCAGGGAGCCCGACGCGGGGCTCGATCCCAGGACCCCGGGATCATGACCTGAGCCGAAGGCAGATGCTTAATAACTGAGCCACTCAGGCGCCCCAATAAACTCTTAAGTCTTTTAATTTGCCTTGTAGACTCTGGATTTTCACAATCTGATCATATTTTAGTCCATTAACAGATAAGTCACACTGAATGATTTTCTAATATTAACCAATTTGCTCCCTGGGATAAATCCAATGCGGTCATCATTCCTTATACTTTAAATACAATGTTAGATTTGGTTTGCAAAAAATGCCTATTTTCAGGGCGCCTGGGTGGCTTGGTCATTAATTGTCTGCCTTCAGCTCAGGTCATGGTCCCAGGGTCCTAGGATCGAGCCCCGCATCGGGCTCCCTGCTCCACAGGAAGCCTGCTTCTCCCTCTCCCACTCCCCCTGCTTGTGTTCCTGCTCTGGCTGTCAAATAAATAAATCTTTAAAAAAAAAAAAATGCCTGTTTTCTTATTGGAAGGTGCAGGGAGATTTTATATATCTCCATCAGGTCTAATTTATTAGTTGTACTATTTAAATCTTCCATGCCCTTCATCATCATGATCGTGTCTTCTTCATGATCTATTAATCAGGGAGGTATGTTTAAAATGCCCATTATATTGGTAGATTAACCTATTTCTCTTTGTAGTTGTAGCCATTTTTTTAATACATGTTTTGGGGTATACGATGAGTCACTTAAGGTACATAGTTAAGAAGTTCAGAATTGTTCTGTCCTGGCCAATGAAACTCACTGCCCAAGGCAGAGGCTCTATCATGAGTAATCTGGGGAGGAAAAAGGGCTTAATACGGAGAGACTAAGGTTGAGAAAAATAACCTTACCCAAGAACACACAACTCAGTTAAGCTAAAACAGACTTTTGCTCTCAGATTATCTGTATATGATATTCCTTCTACCAAACTACGTTCTTTGAAATCCAAAATGTTTTGGAATTTTAGATTATGAAGACAAAAGCCAATAGAGGAAATAAACACACATCAACACACACAAAGAACTGACTCTAGTAGAAAAGTTTTATGCTTAGTAAAAAAAAAAAAAAAAAAAAAATCTGCTAAAAGAAGGGAGAGGATTTAAATAACTCCCTATGTGGCTGAAACAAAGAAAAAGCTGACGGAGGAAACTGTCAGGTGATTTCAATGCAGAGAGTAAAAGACAGTCATGGAATCCTGCTGTGTGCGGTAATCAAAAAGAAGGTACCAGTACAACACAGGTTAGGTTTTAAGAAAGAGCAGGATGACAACTGGCATTCTGAGAACACAGCAGGAAGGACACTTGAAGAGAGAAAGCAAGAGAGACTAAAATTGTAAAGTGAGATTTCAAAAAACCTAGTGAATAATTATTAATTTCATAGCAAGAAACCACAAAGGGTTATTTTTTAAAAGTGTGGTATCATCAATGCAAAAAACCACCAAGTCAGAAACTTTTGATAAAGGTCCACAATGTGCCAGTGTTTAAAGAAAAACAACATATACATATGTACATATGTATACATACTACATACATATGCAGAGCAACTAAATGTATATAATTAAATACACACACCACACCGTTTTTTTTTTAATCACTGGTACAAGGTCAAGATGGACACTGACCCTGCCAGCTGATTAACCAGCTGACAGAACAGACAATGTGCTGAGGGTGGTAATTATTTAGGAGGCATTATGAACATACTGAAAGCAAATCATATGTTCTGTATAACAAGTTACTGTGAACCAAGTATCAACATAACAAGCCAAGGACATCTGTACAAGATTTATTTCATTAACCACAATGTTTTCGAGTGATGGTATACACCCTTAATACAGAAGGAGTGAATCCAAATCCATCAAGAGTTAAAGGTCAGAGCCAAAGTCAGTGGCTTTAATCCCCAATCAGTAAGAGTTTCATCCACCATTTTGTTTTTCTTGGATTGATAAAAGAGATGGTGTACAGAACACCCTGTTCTAAGCTCCACCATGCTTTCCAACAAATAAGCACCACCAGGGACTAGACTTCATTGCTTCATCCTTGCTCTGGCTGTGCTGGTGGGTGGCAAGAGCCTCTTGTCTGCATTTGACCTCCTATTTATTCATAAGCATTCCTGTTTCCAGCCATAACTCCCCACAACTTCACATTTGAATAATTTCTCCTGAATCGCATGGTCTTAATATTGACAACCAGGGCTAATGAGAGCGATTAAATTGCCATCTGTTTAACAAAACATACCCTTCAAAGAAGAATATCCACAGTCTTATTGCATTTAGTACATCGTCACCACATTGAAATGACATGTTAGAATCAATACAAAATATTTATTTTTTTTCCAAACCACAAAATTTACCCCAGAGCCACACTATAAATTTCCTAGAATTATAAACCATTAACATTTTTCTAAACAATGCAGTCCAACCAGAAATGAAGATAATTTTCGACCAGCAGGGGTACAATGTATACTGAGGTCCTGTAAGAATGTACCTCTGATGAGGATTTTCTCTAATGCTCCCACAGCCACACCATCAACATCAGCAGAAATAGTCTATGTACTTGTGCCACTCGGCTCTGTAAAGAAGTTCAAAATAGGATCTTGGCCAGGCAAGGAGGAAAAGTGTCAGTGACCGAGTTCATCAAAACTAAGGGGACAAAACAGGTATCATTACCCTTGAAAAAGAACAGGGGTCCTTTCATCGATTCTGGTGGCCAGAAACTAGGACAAATTTCCACAAGGCAATGAAAGTAACAAGAAAGCCATTTCTCCAAGAACTCCTATTTTAACTTCTGATAAACGTGAACTTCATCTTATGCAATCTTACTGAAAACTGCAACCACAACCGAAAAGGTCCTATAAACCTATTCTAGGTGTCAGTCAAGGGATTCACATTCTGATCTTACATTTTGAAGTCCCCTTAAGAGGCCTAGACCTGGAGTAAAGTAAACATAATACTCTGAAGCGCAATGAGACACCATAAAAAAAAAAAAAAAAAAAAAAAATCAGCTCAAAACACCCCAACTGACTGGATACCTAATGTAGGTTTTTTGTTTTGCTTTTTAGTTTTAGAATTTTTTAATACCTCAGATTAGTGTATATTCATAAAACAATGTTCAGTTATTTTTAATAATAGCTTCTTCTTAAACAACTGAATTTTAGCTCAAGGGCAATGCCTCTATAATAATCATGGAAATAATTAACTGCTATAAAACAGAAAAAACACAGAAGAAAATATAGCCAGTCTCAATAAGAAAAGAAGACAAAATCTGGAAGTGCTACTCCGGAGATTAAACAGGCTTATTTAAATACTATGATACAAGTGCTCCTGCTCACTTTATACTGCAGAAACCAATCGTGTTTGCTAGATCACCATGACCTTTGCTAGTACGAGTGCACAGACCACCATTCTGAAGCTCTCCTTTTGTGCTGAAAAACGTTCAAGTCCCTTGTTCGGTCAGTAATGAATATTGCAAGGCGATGCATGTGCAAACTCTTCCTGAGGAATTCTTCACGTGTGCAAATTTGCAACCCGACAGAAAGCACGGCGTCTGCACTCCAGGGGAGTGCGGCTTACATGGCCGGGGCACTGGAGACGCACACGGCGCTAACGCCATGGGCGCCCATTCTCCTGACATCTCACTTACCGCTCAGCTTCTGTCCTATACCCCAAAGAAGGGGAGAGGAACTGCCTCAAACTTGTGAAAGGGACAGGAAAAAAAAAAACTTTCCCACAAAATTTAATAATGCACAACTCATGCATCCAGGTTTGTGTTTCTTCTAAATCTACCTAAGAACTACTAGATTAAGAGTCACACTCTGCGAAGTTTTGCCTTCCACCCCACAGAAAACAAAGCAGTAGCTCCTGTCAGGTTAGGGTGCAGCTGTGACAACAGAGACCGGGAGAGGACACTGTTACTGAAGAATAAGGCCAACTTTTAAAGTAAGTACCATCTCTCAAAACCATAGTCATTTACTTTGACGGGTCATTGTTCAGGTGACCGAGCTGCCTTTCTTTCGGGGAGTCTAGCTTCAGGCTGCACATACACACCAGTCGGGCTCGCCGGATCAACTACATGTAGCCTAATGAGACAATCAGCGTATAATTTTCTGTCCTCAGTGATTTGGGCCCCACAAAAGCTAGGATTTAACTGGGGTGGAAAAACTAGACACTGTACTGGCAAGAAAAATACAAGTAAACATGAGAAGAAAATACTTTCTGGCCAACCGGGCTTAGTCAATACAAAATGGAGGGCAAATCTTAATTTCCTCTCATGTTGCAAACCAAGAATTTTGTTAAACCCAATTAAATAAGCAAGGTCAATTTCTACTTAAAATAAAGAAATAGGTTTTTCATCCTGCAATGTACCTCAAGGGGCCAAGATGAGTAACAAGTCACATACACTAGGAGGTTGCATGTATGATTTCTATAGTGCCTTCCACTCACGGTTTTGCAGTACTAAGCCCTGGCCCACAGTGAGCTGCAGTCGCTGCGCAAATATTTAGAGAGACTAAATTTTGCAAACTTGGCCCACTTTTTGCTAACACATACATAATAATAATAAAAAGAAGACAATATAAAATCTTTCTCCATTAACTTAATAATGCAAAAGCATCAGAAGATTTTAATGCCAGTTCACATCATAATACAATGCTTTTATAGAGAAAGTTCCATTGTTGGCCAAAGAATACTCTCCCAGAAAAAGCATTTGGGCACATTATTAGGATAATGAAGAACTCATCCACATTTAAAGAATCATCCCAATTTTATTCCTTTCAGAAGTATTATTAAAACCACTCAGGAGAGATGTTAGTCGCAGGTGTTATTTATAAGCCCGCAGCGAGCACTCCATGGCAAGGAGTAAAATTTGGACTTCATGATGGAATGCAATTCTTCCTTGACACCACAATGTTACTGGGCTAGCAAATCAACCTGTACAGGGCACAGTGAGAGCCTGTATATATTCTTACAGTAATTCAGTGTTTATCAATACAATCTAAGATGCTCACAGAGTTAAACAAGTCCAATCCAAAGTCCTCTGCAAAATCCACCAACTCTGGTTTGTTTAAGTACTTAAAAAATAAATCTGACACCCTTTACGTTTACTTCTCAGAACAATAATTTTACAAATAGAGGACTTCTATTAGATGACTTCCTTGCTCCTATCATCACACTTCAAACTCTCCCATCCAGCCTGCTCGTGAAAAAAGACAAACTGTCGGCAGAGGCACCTATACGAGAAACGTGACAATCAGAAGTGTGACACTATCCCTGATACACCTTGTTTTGCCCCAAGTTCTCTGAAGAGGTAAATATTAGTGTGACATAGCCAAACAGAATCAAGCATATGCTCAATTTAGAGTCAAGCAAAATTGAGAAAATATTTTCACCTGCCACATCTATTTTTCGTTGCCTTCCAAAAACAACTAGAATAAGCTTTGGAGTCTTTTGTAAGAAACTAAACAGCACTGTGGGTACAGAAAAAAAAACAAAATATAGCTGTGTCACAGGTGGAAGGAAGCTTGAAACAGCAGTGCTACTTCTCTATTATACTTGAATATAATGCTAAAAAAGATGCAAACTGCAGACTTTTTTTTTTAAAAGTACCTACTCACCCATATAAAATGAAATGGATCCGGAAGCCCACACCAATTATTATATTTGGATTTAATAACCATATCTGCTTCCTAGAGCACCACAGTAACTAGCTGTTACCACTGGAAATTTCTCCACAATACTAAAAAGGGAGCTTAGTGCTAAAGTACAGCCCACCCCTACACTAGCATCATGCCAATACTCCAGCAGCTGGTGAAATCATGTGAAGTGACAGAGGGAATGGATATGTTCTACAAGAGTTGGTCCCCAACATTAATATGAACATGCCACAGTGAGGCAGGGGGAGATCTGACCAATGAGCAACACACTTCTATTTTCCCACTTACTTAGCATCCTGCTACAAAGTCACACCTGACATCTTAGTGGGTTAGTCTGTGATACCATAAACTTTTTCAGGAAGCATTTGTGAGTTGAACATCATGGTCACAGAGTTGCAAAGTGCACAAAGCTCAAGGCACACAGTAGAAAAAAGTTGTGAACTGGTGAGGGGAAAAGTTATAGCAGAAGCCAAGTTAGCATTTTCCTTTAACAAGACTTTCTAATGCTAAACTCTTTTAATGACCAACTCTTTTAAAAGGGGTTTGTTTTGGTAATGGGTGAAAAACACTGTATTGTAATGATCTGCTTGATTTTAAAGCAAAAGAGATCCTGATGTGTAAAGCCAATATGCTGAAGTGCCAAGTCCACAAATGAACAAAACAAGTGCTTTAAAAAAAAAAAAAGATTCTTCGGCTCTTATATTTTTGGAGGAAGCTGCTGATGTTGGCTGCTGGATTTCCCTTAGCAATGGTCACTTTTCAAGACGCTTGTTCCTCATGGAATCTGTAGATAAACTCATTAAAAGATTGTCCCATTTCAAAATCATCCCCAAGTCTAGCAGCAACTGACTGTTTTTTTTGTTAGTTTTTTTGTTTTTTAAAATTACAAACCAAAGTAAGAAGTCCAACATCCTCTTCCAAGAACAACTTTGTGACAGAGCTCCTGAGTGTCTGCAGGCCCCCCCCGCTGTGCTCCGAATACAGTCTCTGCAGCTCCAGTGTGTCCTCTTTTCGGGAAGGAAAGTACATTCAATACATTCACTATCTGTACCCTCTGGAACTTGCACATGCTGATGAGCTGTCTGGAAAAAAAAACATTGCAACGGGAAAAAGTATGAATAGCAGACAGCATTTGATAATGGTAAGAATCTCTTTATTTAATACATATTTCTCTCTCACCCCTCTCTCAATCCCCAAAAGGAGATTTAAAAAAAAAAAAAAAAAAAGCTGGCTGAAGTGTAAGGGGCTGTGTCATCAGGAACTGTATCATCATCCCATTCTAGTAGAGACTCCAGAATCTGGGAGGCTCTTGACAGCTGCTGAAAACCACTGCCACAAACCAGACTCCAGCGCTGCCACAACCCGCAGAACAGTCTGGCATCAATCACAGAGTGCCTCGTGAGGCCACCATCAAGAACACTGTGGATTTCATTATACTCACCGCACGGTCCCCACCAGGAGCTGCCTGACATAACAAAACCATCAGAAATGGTAAGGAACATCATTACTTACTATAAGCCAACTCATCCCCAGCTCTTTTCCGGGACTGGTCACCTCTGGGGATAAGAAAAGAAGGAATCAACAGAACACTCAGACATCTTCATACACCAAAACAGGAGAAATGAAAGAACTGATAACAGAAGTAAAGCACGTATTTCAATTCTAACAACCTATCTTAAAACAGACACTAAACTTTAACAGTAGTACAGTCATATATAACATGAATATTCTTAGCTAAAAGGTGCTGCCTTTTAAATATAGAAAGCTATTAAATGAAGGAAGGGTTATCTATAAAAGTGGCTTACACTGGGTTCTAGAAAACAGGTTCAGACTAAAAATGTCTTTGAAGATAAACCTGAATTCTGCTACCAACATCCCTAGTGACCTGGCATATACTAGGACAAATTTCAGATATGAATCCAAAATGTTCCCCCCAAACGCCCCCCCCTTTTTAAGGAGGCTCCACCCCAGTGTGGAGCCCAACATGGGGCTTGAATTCATGACCCTGAGATCAAGAGTCAGATGCTCAACAACTGACTGAGCCACCCAGGCACCCCTCCCCCAAAAAGCCTTATTATAAGACCAAACACTGCTTAAGGCTTTGAAAAATCTCAGAATCATTAATGTATACGAATGCCCTTCCCGCAGGTGGGAGAACACGAACCTTCACATGTATTAAGCAGTTCATCTTCAACACCTATAGAAGTTCTAGTTCCATTTTACAGATAAGGAAATAGAGGTCCTGATTAGGTCCTGTGCTGCCTGATAAATTCTAGTTTTATCTCTCTGGTTTCTCAGACAATAATCCAGACAAATAACTAAAATGCTCGAGTAATGAGTAATAACAATGGATTTGCTAGCTTTTTCTTGCTCAGTCCCTCAGTGGCATCTACACAGTTCATCTCCTCTTTCCTGAAACAGTTTTGGCTCCACCCAACACTGTCCTTGGCCACTGTTTCTTCTCCGTGTATATATTTGGCTTAGTCTAAGACAGCAATCATACCAGCCTGTGACTTGAAATACTATCCATATGCCAATGACTCCCAGATTTCTGTCTCCAGCTCTCATTTATTCCCTACACTTCAGACTTGTAGGTCCAACTGTCTCATCACCACTGTCACTTGGAAGATTGATAAATACTGCCAGTGTACCATGGTCAGTGACTCCACTCGATCCCCACTCCTTCTCCAGTCTTCCTCAATAAATGGTACTACTAGCCACCCAATTACTCAGACCAAAATCCTAGCTCATTCTTGATTTCTTTCTTCCTCTCATTCCAGAGCACTCTGTAGCAAAACATAATCCAAAATCAAACACTTCCCAACAACTCCCTGGCTACACTCCCAACCTTCGCCACTATCATCTCTCCCCCACACAATCTGCAAGAGTCTTATTATTAGTCCAGACCAGAGCCAGAGCAATCTTATGTAAAAGCATAAATTAAATTATTTCATGCCTCTGATTAAAGCCCTTCAGTGGCTTTCCATCACAGTTAAGAATCAATTCAAATTCATTTCCCAGTCCTATGAGACACGGCTCTTGCCTACCTCCCCACCCTCATCTTCTACCTCCGCTCACTGTACGTCAGCCACGCTGGCTCTCCTTCTTCCCTGGCACATGCTAGCACTTTCATACTTCCCATTTTCTCTGCCTGTAGCATGCCTGCCGCCAGTTAGCCATGTGGCTGTCTCCTTATCACCTACGTACGTCCTCACTGGAATGTCTCCCCCTCGGAAGGCATGTCATCTCCAGTTAGCTGGACCAGCCCTTCACTCATGCCCTGTCACTCACTCCCTCTTTATCCCACACTCTGTCTCAATTTCTTCACAGCACTTGTTATTATTTGAAGTAATTTGCTTACACGTTTGTTGTTTATCTCCTAACATTACAGCATAAGCTCCAAAAACACAGGAACTTGTTTACCCAGTACCTAGAACAGTGTCTAGCAGAAAATAAATATTTACTGAATTAACAAATCAGTGAATAATTGATAAATGGCCTCTACAGACAGACTATGAAGATGCTAACCCAAGTAATTATTTCATGCTTCAGAGTGATCTTCTAGATTAGCAGTTTCCCTCTCCCTTTCTCTGGCTGTGCTTAAGACCAGGACAGAAACCTCTTGCTGGCCGAGGTGAGGAGTCTCAATGACCAGGCAGGAAGAGATGATGTCAAAGGTCCTCCAAAGAGATCTTCTCTAGGTTGGGCATTTAGAGAAAAACATGCACCACATTTGGCATGAACCAGCCTTAGACGGCCTACAGAGCTCTTAACACCTGTGTCCTAATGCCCTTTTTAAATACCTCCTGTTAACACTATGCCTACAAAGCCAGTTGGCATCTCGTATTATTATTTACGCTTATGTATTACCTTACATGAGTACCATCACAGTAATATTCATCAAATATTCTGAAACAAGTAAGTTAATGCTGATCAAAAAGGAAGACATAGGATTTTATATCTAGAACCTCAACTTCTATAGATAACCTTCATTCCCACACCTGAAAGGTTAAATAAAAACTGAACGTGCAAAAATAATAGGAGAAAAATGTAGATGTGAAAACAACAGAAGGCAGAGAGAGAATGTAGATGTGATCTACACGAGAGGCTGCCAAAGATACCTCCTAATGCCCCACATCTGGAAAGCTATGGCTGCCCTCAAAACCAGACCCCTGTTACTAAATGAAAAAGTGCCAATTTTAGAGTGACCCTCTCAGTTAAAAAATCAACAATACCCCTACAAGGTACCATTTTGTTCCAGAAATCAAAGTAACAATTACTCTGCAAAATACTTGCCTTTAAAAGCTATTTGGTACGAGCTTTGAAGAGGCCCAACAGGCTGGTTTGAAAGAGAATGTTCCATCTGAGGGCATGCACGTTAGAAGTTCCCAAACAAGGTTCCCTCCATAATGTAATCTCAGACACCAACCTGCCCTCCCCCACCCTCCAATAATCAATTCAATTACCCAGATAACTGATAAAAACAAAATGTTGCTCTTAGCTTATATGTTAATTCTAGCTTACAAATAAGTATATTTCCATGTATCTAAAGATACTGCATATAAATTCCAGCTCAAATGAGAAATGCCCATTAACTATAATTGAGGATATATTTGACAACATTCACAACATTTCCAAAACACTTTGAAGACATCCTGTGCCATCTACATCAAAGCTGGGTGCTGCCTTTCAGGACCATACCACGTAAACAAAACACAGTCCTAAATGAAAAAATAGTTTGCAAAGCTGAACAGGAATCATGTGACTTGTTAGGCATAAACCATAAAATGACTGCTCAATCGGAACAGCCAGTAACAGAATTCTTGTTGGATAGCCTATACTATATTCTCAAGGTTTTCTGCACCAGTGGACACCATTTCTTCCAAAACAATCCTAGTCAAATAATGATCAAAGGCAGCATCAGGTCTGCCAGGGCAGAATGTGGAAGGCCCATACACAAGAGCTGGAAGCATAGGCAGATTCTCTCTCAGCTGCTAAGTATAGGACGGGTGCACATCCTTTCCGATGGGTCTGGGCCAGCTCAGCAGTGGACTGCAGGAAGTCCGAGAATGCAGGTTAGGCAGGACCTACAACGTGCAAAGTACCCACCAGAATAATTTGTAAGGCAGACTTCAGTTCTCATATTAATGTATAATATGTTGTTAATTCTAGAAGTGGCCCAATTTGGTTTGTACAACAAAACAGTTTAATCGTATCACCTCTTGGAATACTAACGTTTAAATGCAGCCCTGCACCCTGGTCTCTTCTTTCAGTTCCAAAATTAGGATTAGGAAAATATCTCTGGATATGTTTACACAGTTCTACACACTGTTGTGGAAGGTGAGTTCAAGGTGTTCAGAGAAATCCACAAGAGCTATCTTATAATACATTGCTTCATAGAAATAGAAGTTTTCAGAAGCTTGTTTATTTTTTAAAGGTATGAATAAACTCACCTCTAAAATTAAAAGAAAACATTCAAATAAAAACATGAATCAAAGCATAAAAGACTTCAATATTATGGTAAGTCTAGAGAAAACCATAAAAGGTAGACTCAGATTATTTTGCATTTACTTAATTTAAGAAAAAACTTTTAACTGTAATTCAAAACCCATAAGCCATAAAGAAAAAACCTGATAAAGTTACACAAAAATAAAAAACTTCTGCATGACTTAAAATAAAACAAAAAACCACCATAAGCAAAGTCACAAACTGCAAAAATCAACTGACTTATCTTGGGCAGAGAATCAATCTCTTCAACATAGAAAGAGCTCCTAGAATTCAAGGAAGAAAGGCTAACGAATAGAAAAGTGAGCAAAGGGCATAAACAGGCCATTTACAGGAAAAGAAATACAAACCTGGTAATATTCTCAGCCTCACTCTTAGTAAGAGAAATGCAAATTAAAACAATTTTTCGGAGTAATTATTTTTCACCTGTCAGACCAGTGAAAATCCAAAAGCCTAACAATATACTCTACGAGCAAGGCCATGAAGAAGAGGAACTTTTCAAACTGTGCTGGTGGATATGCAAAATGGCACAATCCCCCATGAAGGGCAATTTGGCGATATTAATCAAAGTTACAACTGACTGACTTCTTGATCCAGCAATCCCACTTATCGGAATTTACTCTCCATATATACCTGCAACAGGTACACAATTATGCATGTACAAGGGTATTCATCACAGCATTCTCTATCACAGCAAGACTGGAAATCATTCCAATTGCCATCCGCAGGGGACTGGTTAAACAAGTTCTATCTACACAACAGAAGGGGTAAGAAAGGAGTAAAAGTAAAAAAACTAAGAGTGAGGCTGAGAATATTACCAGGTTTGTATATTGTGTTTGTGTTTGCTTGTATCTGTATATTAAAATAAGTACTGAAAGGAATCATAAGGAACTAATAAAATGGTCACCTAAAGGGGTAGGAATAGATGGGGAAACAACCAGGAGCAAAACTTCTCAATGTGTACTTTCTGTATCATCTTTACTTTTGAACCACATGAATATAATAGCTCTTCAAAAATAAGTAAAATTACTATAGCATTAAACAGGCTCATTCTGTATATGAAAATAATACTGCTATTAGAAATATTGTAATTAATGTCAGAAAACACCTGACCACTGGACTTGAGGGAGGAAAATCAGCTGCTTACATTCCAGCATTTTCTATGGCCTTGCCTTCCCTTAACTTGACCCAAGAAAGTCAGGTCTGCCAGACCTACCTACACAGCTTCCATGAGCCTTTCCCGTATGAGCTGCCAGTGAGTGGGGTCACTGAGTGGGGATTACTCAGTGACCCCACGTCCACAGGAATACAGATGGCACCAGGACAAAAGGGGAATAAATACCAATGCATGAGGCTGCAAAGAACAGATTTTTCGGCTTTCTTTCCTAATCTGTGCTGAGACTAGAGACAGTAAAAACGATCTTGGTCAAGACTGGTATTCTGAGATGTAGCTTGGCCTCAGAACCTATAAAAGAGAATGTCCATCCCCAGCCCTAGTCAGGTAAGCGAGTCAATATTCAACCTACTATTTATGATCACAACTATACCTCAGGGAGAAACCTAGGCGTCTAACTTTCCATAACTTTCTTCCTTTAATGTCAGGAATTCAAATAAGAGAAGATATGTAAAAGTGCTACCTTACTGCACCCTTCAATGATTTGGTGAGGCAACTGGGTGTTTTCCCATAATATAATCTATTTTGGTTGAAAATATGCACTTTGCAAGATTTTCTGGGATATAGCTAAGATCCTGAATTGTAAATTTTAGAAAAATCAGCCACATGTATATATCAAAACCAAGGAAGGCAAATTTTCTGGATACATATAGAGATATCCTACTTTTTAAGAAGAAACAAGCAGAATTTAGGGCAGAAGTAAAAATACGAAAACCAGAACTGAAAAGCCATTTTACTGGTTTAGTCATACACTAGTCATTTGCTAGTTCATTCACAGAACTACACTATAACTAACCGTAACACCCACCAGTGCTGGGAACAAGGTAGAGGGTTCACAACTGGAAGAGCGCTTACAGGCCTCCCAGCCTCACTGTCCCTCCAGCGAGAGCGCCTTTCTTCTAAACCCATGTTTAGTGAAGGGCAGCTTCCATCAAATCAAATCCCAGCTTCACCGTTTCCACAGGCAGCTAACCCCTCCCCCAGCAACAGCACCGTGATTGCTCAATGGCTGTCTCCCATTCTAAGAACCCTGGCCTCCCTCCCTTGCCAAGCCAAACCAGCCGAAGGAAATGGACATATTTTCTCAAAAAGAAAAGAAAAAAAACTTGCCTCGTAAAACCATTCTGTATAAGTTCTCTTTGAAGTTTCTGATCTTCAGCAGCATATTCAGAAAGTTCAGATTCCACAGCCGGAGGGAGAATGTTTGGAATAAATTTAGAAAACAGAGTTGGAGCCATCTGAACCCACTCTGTGAGGGAAGGAAAAGATTCATTAAGGAAATCATAAAGACAAATTAAATGAAAAAGGGAAACTTTTCTTTTGTTCAAAGAATATATGTATTAAACCGAACCTAAAGTGGGGAAAAAATTAGTGCAAGCCCATTCTGATAAGGAATATACGACAGATTAAATGTCCTTTCTAAAAAGAATTTATAGTACAAAGAAAGCAGATATTTTTACATTTTGCTGATAAACACTCTCTTACCCTTATTCTGTGAATACTAAATATAAATAACATCCACCTGTATCAAGGGCATGCTAAAACTAGCACTCCCCCATCCTTGTTTCTGGTCCTAATTTAGCACTGTTAAACCCCTGTTAGATTCTTTTAATCCTGCCCTTTCAAATTTTCCCTTTGGAAAACATCTTGGCTGTATAGATCGAAAACCACAAAATGTCAATCTGTATTTAATCCAGTGAGCTCAACGCTTTAAAAATTGTAATCTGAGTAAATAATTCTAAATCTTAAAAAAAAAAAAAAACCAAAAAACAAAACAAGGGGCACTTGGGTGGCTCAGTCATTAAGCATCTGCCTTCGGCTCAGGTCATGATCCCAGGGTCCTGGGATTCAGCCCCGTGTCGGGCTCCCTGCTCAGCAGGAGCTGAGCTCCCTCTCCCACCCCCCCTGCTTGTGTTCCCTCTCTCACTGTGTCTCTCTCCGTCAAATAAATAAAATCTTAAAAACAAGCCATGTTTGATGCTGTGCAGTGCTGGATGCTAGGTCAATGGTAAGTAAAAAGTGTCCAACAGGAGAATAGTTAAGTTAGACATGACCAAAACAAAACAACAAAAAAAACAAGTACCACAAAAAACAAAACCAGAGCCAATCCACTCATCCCTTGTATAAACTCATGGCAAAATGTTCTCAACAGTGTCCCTCCTTCCAGTTCAACTCAAATATACCTTTAGAGTCTCAATACGGAGACCTGGAGAACCACTGACCCACCAGGGAGGGGTGGCAGGAGTCAAACTGATCTGCCATTTTATGGAACTCCAGGAAATCATTAAAATGAAGATGAAGAAATCAAAGAAAAGTGTGTGTATTAAACGAAGAAGGGCAGGATAGGAGAGTTGGCACTGTGCCTAAACTAAGCTTCCTAAAGATCAGATGGACACATACCAAAAATTCTAAGAGTCATAAGAATCTCCAAGGATTAGGACCCAGGAATTTAGTTTAAAAAACTTCCTTGGGTGATTCAGATGCATTCATTATATGAAGATCAGCACTTGAGAACCAGTACAGTGGACTCAACTTTTTACACTTAAAATTCAACTTTTAAAATATTTTAACCTTAATCTGTCAGGTGAATAAAACTACTTCAACAAACCAGGAAGAGAATGGGTACTGGCAAGACATGTAAATGTCAAAATATTTTTAATAGTATCTCAGAAAATGCCTAGTGCAGCAAAAGGTTAGTCTCTGATAAAATTCTTTTCAAAAGGACAACTCTCAAAGACAGAATTCTCCTCACAAGTAGTATGAATCCTATTACAAGAGCTCAAACCTGGATAAAACAGCATTTGGATAAACACGTATCTATGAGTTTTTCTACCCTTAGTGATTAGTTTTATTTTGCCATTTTGTTATTTATGATAAAATCCAGAGCTGATAAAGCTGCCTACTCTTTAGAGACAGAATTTAGAAATGTGTTTAATACCACGTTTGGATGATTCCAAAATAAAAGAAAAAAAAGCATTCATAACCTAGGACTAAAAGAAAAATTCATGAGCCATTTTTATCACATTTAGTAAAATGAATACAAAACTGAGAAACTAGAAACATCAGTTTATTGGACATATGTAATATTTTTGCTACCTTATAGAAGTAATTGCTAAGAAAAACTTGTTTATGAAGTAGAGTAAGACCCGATGCAAATTTAAGTTAACATGACATCAGGATATTCTAGAAGACCCTAACTGCTTAAAGCAGCCTGGGAAAGAAGGTATTTCTGACATCACAGTCTACCCACAATGCCACAGTTTTTAATTTGTTTCCATTTCAGCGAACTAAATTCTGACGTATCTTTCAAATTATTTAAGCAAACAATCAAGCCATCAGTTAATTAAAATAACTACTGGACCTAACTGGATAGTAATAAAAACAGCTAATGTTAGCCACGCTTATTATCAGGTACTATGTTAAGCTCTTTAGATAATGTTTTATTTCATTTAACCCTTATAGACAAAAGAATTCCACAGAAAAAGTACTGTCAAAAAAATGTCCCTTACGTTTCTAGATGGGGTAGCACAATGTTCTACCCTGAGAATTTTTGCAATCTCTTTACTATGGGCTTTTAAAAAATTTGCTAGACAACTGTATGACAAGTTTGAGGTTCTGGCTTACAAACGGGAAGATATATACAAAAACATCTTGGAATTCCTTTAAATTCACAATGGCTTTTTTATTCTAAGATAGATACATTAAGATAATTTACAAACCATGCCTTTGAATATAGTGGTCTTTGATTTTTGGTTCTGCTTTACTGAGTATCTCTCTCCTCACAATACACTTATGAAATGACTGTAATTTTACCAACACTTCTAGATTCCCTGCAAGTTACAAAATTGGCCTAAGAAGATGGGAGTTGTGGATGTGTATGTCTATGCATATCTGCAGTGTGGGATACAGATGAAGGAGAAACTCCACAACAAAAAAGACAGAAATGAATACTGGACATGAGATTCAATTTTATCCAAAACATCTGCTACAAATTATTTCTTGTATTTCCTAAACTAGTCGGTTTTCCAAGTGAGTCCTGATTTTACATTTCACAATGATAACTGTACTATCTACTCAATTTTTTTTGGCTATAACAAATCCAAATACCATTAGGCCTCAAAAAAACACATAGACAAACACTCCCCTCTTGGATAAGGCTGGAGCTCTCATTAACAAACAAATCAACAAGTCCAACCTCAAAAGAAATGGTGACTGTTTACCTGGTCTGAGAGTATACAGGCCTTTCACAATATTTGCCATAGTTGAAGGTGTGACTTGAAATGGTGTCGACTGGGCTTCTAAAAGTAAAGCTGAAAGAGAAAATGGGTTAAAAATATGATAGAACACAATGATTGTCAAGGTTTCTCTATAATTATTTCTCCCAAAGACGAAAGGGCAAACAAGTGTAAGAAAAGAACAGCCCCAGGGGACAAACCAAGTCTACATGCTAAAGATTTTTTCTAAAAAATCCAATGCAGTAGAGTTCAATCTAACAAGTAAATATGTGCAGGTCTGTTAAAACACTAATGGAGATGATTCAATTCATGGGAATTCTGAAAATAAGCTTTCCAAAAGCAGTAGTATTCATGGTACTTAGTGAGTGAGCTGAAAGTGCTTCCCATTAAGTTCATGAGTCAGAAGATTTACATTTGGAAAATAAAATATTCTCTAACTCTCCCAACCATTGCTCTTTCCCCAAATCACCATATCTGAGGCCCTTGGGATATTTCTGAAGACACATTATTGGTAATTTTAGTAACTACGATCTGAGTCAGAAACTCACATTCCCGAACCCCACAGGTGCGTGTACTTTTTCCTTACTAAACATACAGGCAAGGAATTGCCTGGCTCATCCTCACTTTCTTGACTCTCACAACCACTTGACCCCGACTGACCATGCCAAGTCAGCTTTCTTTTAGGTTACCTTCTCCAACGAAAATTTTATTACAACATTTATAAATAAATAGGAATAATTCTTCTAAATAACATCATTAACAGATATGAATGTATTCCATCATTTTAGTAGATACAACAAATAACAATGATTCCCATTAACTTTTAATTTCTCTCAAAGACCACCTGCAATTTACTACCCCCAAAACCCACAAGACTTAGCATAACTTTATGCTAATCAAGGCTTGTAAAGCTGCATAAGCTATGCCTTTGCAAAAAGGAAAGCGCCTCCTCACTTGACCAGCAATGATTTTATAGTTTTCAAACATACAATGCGAGTTACATTTCAATTTATATGATGAAGGCCAGAAGTGCATTTAAGTGTATCCTTCTGATTCTATCAGCAATAGACAGTGATAACTCTGAAAGGCACAGATAAATTTTAAGGATGACAAATGTTAAACACTGCAGAAAATCAAATTTTAGGATGTAATGTTTAATAACTGCAATTCTAAATTTTAGGTTCTGGGAGTCTCTTCCACTCAATGTTATCTCTAATTACAACATGTGCCCCACACACAGGCTCTATTTCTATTCATTCATTTTCCTACTTTTTGACAATCGTTTTGGCCTTCATAAGTCTTGTTCCCACTAACTCTTCACATTCAATCACACCTTAATTATGTCATCAAATATATACATTTGGAAATGAAAAAATGATACATTCACAGATTAAATTATACATAAAATAAATAAAAATTAATTTGGGGAGCGCCTAGGTGGCTCAGTCAGTTAAGCGCCTGCCTTCGGCTCAGGTCATGATCCCAGCGTCCTGGGATCGAGTCCCACATCGGGCTCCCTGCTCATCGGGTAGTCTGCCTCTCCCCTTCTCCCCCAGCCCCCATTCGTGCTCTCTCTCTTTCTTGCTATCTCTCTCTCTCAAATGAATAAATAAAAGCTTTAAAAAAATTAAAAAATTAATATGGGATGGATTAATGAAAAGAATTACATTCGGGAGGAGGAGCAAGATGGCGGAGGAGTAGGAGACCTAAATTTCGTCTAGTCCCAGGAACTCAGCTAGATAGGAGATCAAACCATTCTGAACACCTACCAACGCAACAGGAGATAGAAGAAAAGAATAGCAGCAACTCTCTGAACAGAAAAGCAACCACTTTCTGGAAGGTAGGGTGTGCAGAGAAGGGAATCCGAGGCGATACTCGGGAGGATAGACGGCGAGGGAGGGAGCCTCCATCAGCCAATACCGTCAAGTGATAGAGCAGCGGAGCACAAAATTGGAACTTTTAGAAGGCGGCTCCGCTGAGGGACGTCGCTCCAGTGGCTAAGCCGGGGTATGTGTGTGTGGAACCCTCGCTGGGACAGTGTGGTCGCAGGACCCTCAGGGTCACAGAAAGACCGGGGGTGCCTGAGTGTGGCAGAGCTCCCAGGTATCGGAGCAGGGAAGCTGGCTGCAGACACAGAGCCGAGGAGCAGGCTCTCAGCTCGGGGTTGCCATAAACCATGATCCGCGGTACAGTCGGGCCACTGCTCTTCAAGCAGGGACCCAACAAGTGGCAGACCCGGGAAGACTCCCCTTCATCCCCCGGGGTGAGCGGCACGGGAGCGCACCACAGGAACCTGCTGGGTTTGGAGACTCCAAACAGGGTCGTGTGCTGGAGAGAGAAACGCTGGGTCACAGGCCAGGTGAGCACGGAGCGTGGCCAGAGAGAGGGGAGACAGAAATGACTGACTGCTTTTCTCTGGGAGCTCACTGAAGAGTGGAGACCCAAGCTCTCGGCTCCTCCGGGTGGAGATTGGGAGGCCACCATTTTCACTCTCATCCTCCAAAGCTGTAGGGAAAATTTGCAGGGAACAAAAGCTCCTGAGAGCAAACCCGAGCAGATTACTTAGCCCAGCCCCCAGCAAGGGCGGTGCAGTTCTTCGTGGGGTAAAGACATTTCAGAACCACTGCCAACAGGCCCCTCCCCCAGAAGATCAGCAAGAATAGCCAGCCAAGACCGATCACTGAGAATGGCAGAACTCCAGCACTAGGGGAATACAGCACACAGAATTCATGGCTTTTTTTCCCATGATTCTTCAGTCTTTCAAAGTTAATTTTTTTTTATTTTCCTTTTTCTACATTTTTTTTAAATTTTTCTTTTTCCCTTTTTCAACCAACATCTTATCAATCCCTTTCTTTAAAATCTTTATTTTTCATTTTTAGAGTCATATTCTATCCCTTCATTAGTGAACCTTATTTTTGGTATGTATATGTAAGTTGTTCTCTCTTTAAAATTTTGGGATACAGTTTCTTCTAGAAGACCAAAATATACCCTAAATCTCTACTGTATGGCTTTACTCTAGTCTCCTGCCTGATCACATTCTCTCCCCCCTTTTTTAATTTCTCTTCTTTCTTTTTTCAACCAATTTCTTATCAATTCCTTTTATAAAATCTTTTATAATTTTCATCTTTACAGTCAGATGCCATCCCTTCATCGTATTTACTCTTATTTTCATACATATATAAATTTTTCTTTCTTTAAAATTTTGGGAGGCAGTTTCTTCTAAAAGACCAAAATACACCCAAAATCTAGTATGTGGCACTGATCTATTCACCAGTCTGATCATATCTGATCATATCCCTTTTTTTTCTTTTTTCTTTCCTTCCGTTTCTTTTACCCTGGTTTTGGGTCTCTTCTGATTTGTTTAGTGTGTATTTTTCTGGGGACACTGCTACCCTATTAGCATTTTGTTCTCTCATTCATCTATTCTCCTCTGGACAAAATGACAAGACGGAAAAAAAAGCTCAAAAAAAAAAACAAGAGGCAGTACAGACGGCCAGGGACCTAATCAATACAGACATTAGTAAGATGTCGGAACTAGAGTTCAGAATGATGATTATAAAGATACTAGCTGGGCTTGAAAAAAAGCATGGAAGATACTAGCGGAACCCCTTCTGGAGAAATAAAAGAACTAAAATCTAACCAAGTCGAAATCAAACAGGCTATTAATGAGGCGCAATCATAAATGGAGGCTCTAACTGCTATGATAAATGAGGCAGAAAAGAGAATTACTGATACAGAAGACCAAATGATGGAGAATAAAGAAACTGAGAAAAAGAGAGATAAACAACTACTGGATCACGAGGGCAGAATTCGAGAGATAAGTGATACCATAAGATGAAACACTATTAGAATAATTGGGATCCCAGAAGAAGAGGGGGGGCAGAACGTATACTGGAGCAAATTATAGCAGAGAACTTCCCTAATTTGGGGAAGGAAATAGGCATCAAAATCCAGGAGGCACAGAAAACCCCCCTCAAAAGCAATAAAAATAGGTCAACACCCTGACATCTAATAGTAAAACTTACAAGTCTCAGAGACAAAGAGAAAATCCTGAAAGCAGCTCAGGACAAGAGGTCCGTAACCTACAATGGTAGAAACATTAGAATGGCAACAGACCTATCCACAGAGACCTGGCAGGCCAGAAAGGACTGGCATGATATATTCAGAGCACTAAATGAGAAAGATATGCAGCCAAGAAGACAATATCCAGCTAGACTGTCACCGAAAATAGAAGGAGAGATAAAAAAAACTTCCAGGACAAACAAAAACTAAAAGAATTTGCGAACACCAAACCAACCCTACAAGAAATACTGAAAGGGATCCTCTAAGTAAAGAGAGAGCCTAAAAGTAACATAGACCAGAAGGAACAGAGACAATATACAGTAACAGTCACCTTACAGGCAATACAATGGCACTGAATTCGTATCTTTCAATAGTTACCCTGAGTGTAAATGGGCTAAATAAATGCCCCGAACCAAAAGACAAAGCGTATCAGATTGGAAAAAAAGCAAGACCCATCGATATGCTGTCTGCAAGAGACTCATTTAAGACCCAAAGACACCTCCAGATTGAAAGTGAGGGGGTGGAAAACCATTTACCATGCTAATGGACATCAAAAGAAAGCTGGGGTGGCAATCCTTGTATCAGACAAATTAGATTTTAAAACAAAGACTGTAATAAGAGACGAGGACACTGTATCATACTTAAAGGGTCTATCCAACAAGAAGATCTAATAATTTTAAATATCTATGGCCCTAACATGGGAGCAGCCAATTATATAAGCCAATTAATAACAAAAGCAAAGAAACACATCGACAACAATACAGTAATAGTAGGGGACTTTAACATCCCCCCCCTCACTGAAACGGACAAATCATCTAAGCAAAAGATCAACAAGGAAATAAAGCCTTTAAATGACACACTGGACCAGATGGACTTCACAGATATATTCAGAACATTCCATCCCAAAGCAACAGAATACACATTCTTCTCTAGTGCCCATGGAACATTCTCCAGAATAGATCACATCCTGGGTCACAAATCAGGTCTCAACCGGTACCAAAAGATTCGGATCA